TACACACCACTTAACCAACAGACATACACATTCACACATTGATTTGCTTCATGTTTTGACTATTGCTAGAGCCAGCTGCAAAGCTGGTGAGAGAGACGTCTCGGTTGACGTTTCTGTGTAGTATGGGGCTAGCCCAACCGAGGGAATATAATGTATAGGCCTGGTGGGCTCAGGGTCTTTCATCTTACATCTGCATGGTGGAGGTGCAAGATATCTGAGCGTGTAATGTTAATTTTACCTGTGATCCTTTGAATAAATCAGCACTGTTTTGAAGTCACTTGGACTGCCTCGTCTCTCAGGGTTAGCATGGCAAGACGGACCCTACCCTACATCAGCAATAAGTCTGACTTATCATTCTGTCAGTATTAATAAAGCTACCAGGAACCCAAAATAGAAGAAAAATTTTGCAGGTTGCCCCACATTTTAAACACAGAATTGTAGCAAAACACAAATCTGTACTAAAACTAAATTTGTTTCCGTAAAGATTACCTAACTGTGCTGTATTTCTGTAGAGTTTGTTTGTAACACCTTTTGAAACATAACATTCCAAAATGAGTATGAAATTATTTCACTAAAATGACACTGTGGGAGGTCAGTAATAAAACTTACATAAATACAGTCACGGTGGAACCTCTTCTTCAGATTCAGAAGCACAGAGCTTTCGCAGACCTGTCTGAACACATCAGACAAACAGGTTAATACTGTGCAGAATTATACTGTGTGTGTGTGTGTCTGAACTCACTCCAGCTGGGATAGATCCTCTACCTCATCCACTTCTACAGCGCTTTTGCTGCCTGGCATCAGCACCTGAAAAAGGCATATATGTGAGCAGATACATGGACACCAGTGAAATGAAATGTCCACCATTCTGATCTACTGCAGTCCCATAGCAGCATGTTGCACTGTGTTGTAGGCTCTATTGTGTAGAGGTCCAGTCACAAAGTTTCTGCAAGTTTCTGTGTGACTCTGCACGCTCTGCTGCTTTGTGCTTCACGGAGACCTGGCTCAGCGACTCCATCGTGGACAGAGCGATTCAAGTACCAGGCTTCCAGGTGTTCAGAGTGGATTGTGTAAAGGAGCTGTCCGGGAAAACAAAAGGAGGTGGAATCTGCTTCTACATAAATGAAGGTTGGCGCACGGATGTCACAGTGCTACAGAGGACATGTACTGCAGACCTAGAGTCTCTTGTTATCAATTGCAAATGCTTTTAGTCTCCCCGTGAATTCAACAGCTTCATGCTAATGGGAGTGTACATACTGTAACACTGCAGGCTAACGCTAGCGCACTACGGCTCCTGGCAGAACAGATAACTAGCCTGGAGGTAGAACATCCTGACTCTCCACTCATTGTTCTAGGGGACTTTAACAGAGCAAATCTCACCCACGAAAGGCCCAAATACAGACAGCATGTTACCTGTCCCACCAGGGACAAAATCACACTGGACCACTGCTACACAACAATAAAAGACGCCTATCGCTCCGTCCCCAGTGTAGCCCTCGGGCCACTGTATGGCCCATCTTAATCCAAACCAACAGGCAGAAACTTAAAGCTGCAAAGCCTGTAGTCAAAACAGTGAAGAGCTGGACTGAGGAGGCTAAGTCAGAGCTACAGGCCTGCTTTGACTGCACAGACTGGAGTGTATTTGAGACTGCAGCTACAGACCTGGACGAACTCACTGACACTGTGACATCTTATATCAGCTTTTGAGAGGACGTGTGTGTGCCCACCAAGAACTTCTGCACATGCAACAAGAACAACAGTAAAGCTCAAGCAGCTTCGTCATGCCAAAGAGGAGGCCTACAGAAGTGGGGACAGGATCCTGTACAGCCAGGCCAGGAACACACTGACAAGGGAGATCAGAGTACCAAAGAGGAGCTATTCTGAAAACCTGAAAAACCAGTTTTCAGCCAATGATGGCTTGTCAGTGTGGAGAAACCTACAAATCAGGATGTGTGTGGCCTTTAAAAAAAACAAAAGATCAGAAAGGCACCAGGACCAAACAGTGTGACCCCCTTCTGCCTTAAAGCTTGTACTGATAAGCTGGCCCCCATCTTCATATGTATCTTCAACAGATCACTGGAGCTTCATGTAGTCCCATCCTGCTTCAAACACTCCACCATCCTGGTTCCCAAGAAACCCTCCATCAGTGGACTGAATGACTACAGACCTGACACCTTGACATCTGTAGTTATGAAGTCCTTTGTGAGACTGGTGTTGGCCCACATGAAGGACATTGTAGACCCAGTGCTGGACTGCCTGTCAGTTAAACAGGTCAGTGGATGATGCAGTCAACATTACATCTTCCAAAACCTCAACTCCCCAGGGACCTATGCACAGATCCTCTTTGTGGACTTCAGCTCAGTGTAATGTTGTCACCATCATTGTTATTCTTGTCATTCTAAACTGGCCCAGCTTGTTGTGCCTACCCCCACCCATCAGTGGATCACCAGCTTTCTGACAGGAAGGAAGCAGCAGGAGAGGAGTTGGGAAAATCATATCCAACACCCAGACAATCAACACAGGTGCCCCCCAAGGATGTGTGCTGTCAAACTCCTGATGTTTGCAGATGACACACAACAGCCATTGGTCTCATCTGAGATGACGAGTCAGCCTACAGATGGGAGGTCTATGGTGTGGTTGCAACAACCTAGAGCTGAACATGCTCAAAAGAGTGGAAATGACAGTAGGTTTCAGGGGAGCCCTCCCACCCTACTCCCCCCACCCTAGTCATACTCAGCAGCACTGTATCAGCAGTAAATGGTCTTATACTTGTATAGCGCTTTTCTATATATTGCAGCACACTGCTCAAAGTGCTTTCACACTACTTGGCCATTCACCCATTTGCACTCACAAATGCCCACACATTCACACACCGGTGTTATCACCGGGAGTAACTGGGGGTTCAGTGTGCTCAAGGACACTTTGACATGTTGACTGGACCAGCCAGGAATCGAACCCCTAATCCTCCAGTTAGGAAACAATCTACCTCCTGAGCCACAGCTGTCCCCAGTAGAGTCCTGCAAGTTCCTGGGCTCCACTGTCTCCCAGGACCTGAAGTAGATATCGAACATCAGCACCATCACCAAGAAGGCACAGCGGAGGATGTACTTTCTGCGCCAGCTCAGGAAGTTCAACCTGCCCCAGGAACTGCTGATACAGTTCTACAGAGGAATCATCAAGTCTGTTCTCTGCTCTTCCATCTCTATCTGGTTTGGCTCAGCAACTAAACATGACAAGAACAGATGCCAGTGGACAGTCAGGACTGTAGAAAGAATCATCAGTGCCAGCCTGTCCTCCATGGAGGACCTGTACACCTCACGAGTCAAAAGGAGGGCAGCGAAGATTTCTGCAGACCCCTTACATCCTGGACACAAACTGTTTGAACTCCTCCCCTCTGGATGGCGCTATAGGTCACTTTACACCAAAACAATGAGACGCAAGGACAGTTTCTTCCTATGTCAACTGCCCCCTGCTGGTTTTTTCTGGCTTCTTGTCTGCAACCCAGCCAAAGGCCGGCATCCCCTTGTCATCAAAGTGGCATTCTTCACACGCCAGGTCCCTCTTGCCATCCTCTCAAGGCTCCTGTGAGCTCTGCTTCTCCCCAGGCTCACTCTCCACACCATCTCTTAGGAGATGTAATGCAGACAATTTGAGAGAGTTATACACCTGCCACTCCCTATGGACTAATTACAACCTGCTGACCTGAGTGTTGTCTTTTCCTCAAATTACCATCATATATTCTCTCTCTCTCTCTCTCTCTCTCTCTCTCTCTCTCTCTCACACACACACACTCTCACACACACACACAGTCACCACATGACACCGCTTTAGACTTTTTTCCTTTGACAACATAACTGTCAGGTCTGCTCGGCGCAACCTGCCTCTCTTCCTCCTTTCTCTCCCCTGCTCTCTCATCCCACAGGCTCAGCGACACAGCTGAGTTGCATTCGCCTGTTGATTGACTCCCGGGTGTGGTGCACAGCTGAAGGCTCATCCCCATTAATTAAACCACCTTTACATAAACCCCTGGCATTACGTGTTTAGCCATACGTAACGTGATTTCAACGCTGACAGTTCCTGTGCTGTTGATTTCAGTTGTACGTTGTGTATATACGTTACGTTATCTATATGTTATCTTTGACACGGACTAACATAGACGAGGACATGTTGAGGAAGTTATGACAGTTTGTGTGAATGGCGACATTAACGGTAAGAACAGACTTGTTTTATGTTAGATGCAGCCACTCTGTTGGTGATCTTATCCCTGCCATTATTATTTCCGGCGAGTTCCCCTGCAGTGTGTATCTGACTGTGATCTTCCCAGCCGTAGGTACCTGACGGCAAGCGTTATAGCGAGCGCTACACCTGCCCTGTCTTCTCGTTCCTATGTCCCTCCTGTCATCTCACCTGTCACCATTCTCCTGTCTGCTCGCCTGCCTTGGTCGTCTACTCACCTGCCCGTTCTGGTCTCCTCAGCCACCACTGTTCTACCCTGGTTATGGACTATACATATACTCAGTAACTTTGTTTGTGTTCTAAATAAAACTGCTTTTTTCCCTAGCACTTGGGTTTACACCTTGAGTCCTTTTTTTGTTCTCCCTCACTCCCTGGTGAGGAGACTCAATCATAACAATAAAATAAGTTGTACCGATTGTTACTGGCTCTGTATTTGGTTCCCCTGCTTACTTCAGCAATTCTGAGGAGGTGAGGTTAAATGTAAGTTCCAGGTACTGTTGCTGGGACACATTACAACATGGTAGACTACAAAAGACAAGACTACAGTAACCACTATTTAGTACTGCATCTATATCAGTTACAGCAACTAATACTTTAAAGTATCTGCCAAACATTGCCCATCCATGGGTGTTTTGACTTATATGACCTCATATCTCCTCCTGATTAGGTTTACTGCACTTTTTTAAGTGGGACAGGTCACACCTATGTAATGGTCAGTGGTTCCTGAAGACTGATGACTTCACATATTTCAGGCAGTCCACCCAACTTCAACCTGCGCAGAGATTTAGTTCACCATAAAAATAAAGCATATGGGTGTGCAAGGCTTTTAAACAAGATGGATGATGGAGATAAATGTTTTCATTAAACTAAAGATGTTGGTACTGTATTTGGGGATTAGACAACATTTCGAGGTTACAACACATAGGCAAACAGTTCTGGGAAATGATTAAAAAGACAAAATAGGGGAGCCCTAATAGGTGCACCATATACCAGGCACAGTGCATGTGTGACATTGCCGACCTATGGCACAGGTATACACCTAATAATTGCAAAACTCCCCCAAAAAATTAATTTATAAAGACAAAACAGAGAAAAGTAAAAATTCTCAGTGCATTGCTGTCTGACTCACTATAGCTTAGTTTTCTTGTATACCAAAGAGCACCTGAAAATGACATAACTATAATCATATAACATAGTATAGTTGCTCCTACTGTGGCCTCTAAATGGCAATATCAAGAAAGCACTGCTTTATATAAGACAGTGGAAACACAAGAAAGATCAAGTACTATAGGGTTCTTTGTTTCAGTTCAGTTTATTGCAAATCTAGAGTTACAGGTAAATTTGAGTTGTCTTTGCACCCAAAAATGAATTCTTAGGTTTTTCATCATCATGACTTTTTCCCTAGGGAAATCTTCCATCCATCCATATACCAATTATTCCTGAATAGGGTCACGGGGACATTGGGCAAGAGGCGGGGTCCACCCTGGACAGGTCACCAGTCTACCACTGGGCTGACACTTAGAGACAAACAACCACACACACTCATTCCCACGGGCAATTTAGAGTCACTGAACTGTGGGAGGAAGCTGGAGTACTCAGAAAGAACCCACACAGGCACAGGGAGAACATGCAAACTGCTCTAGAGAAACCAATTAAACCAAAATATTTAAATGAAAATATTTCAGCTTAAGCCAAAGATCTGTGAATAATCAAAAACAGTTATTTAAATTCATGCAGAATACATAGACTATAGCTAAAAGGAGAGGCATATAGAGGAAAATAACATTAAAAACTGGAATTCCAAGTCAGTCAGTGTCTCAGCAGTGCTAACTACTACAAATTATGTTGGCACAGTCCATACATGGGCTGCTTGTGGTCAGTAAGTTTTTCTTATATGGTCATTGGGTATAACAAGATTTTTGACTTTGAATCTTTTTTCTAATGCAATATTAATACCTGTGTACTCACTAGCCGACTCTCCAGCATCTCCTGGGTGAGGTCCTCTGATTCCCAGGGTCCCCTGCCATTGTGGGCAGGAACTGTCCTGACCTGGCCCGCATCATCATAGACTGTCCATTTGGTTAGCTTCTCTACTGTCTGGTGGGGCAACAGGTTCTTAGCAGGAAGCCAGTCCTGAATCACACACAGCAAAGACAGATGATTCTAGTCATACCTAGAAAGAGTATTATTCTTCTTGTATAAATGACAGAATTTCATACTCATAATGTCTTAAAGAATCTACCACTAAAAACGCAACATACTTGAGGGTCTCCACTCATCCATTGGTTCCCAGCCCAGTGAACCTGTGGTTGGGTGATAGTATATAAACTGTCCTCATCCATTAGCTGGGCCACTTCCCTGCCAGCCTCTTCTTCATACAAGGATCCAACACCTGACATTACTGCATTTGCCTCCCCATTTGGAAAGGGCTCCATGGGAGATTTGGATATTCCAGCTGAATACTTTCTTTCTGGGTCTGGTCCTTTGGCCTGAGACGGTCCACCACCTATCATCCCCTCTGACATGGACATCTTGCTCAGTTTAATATGGGAGGAGTGCAGTTTCCCTCTTGCAGCCTGTAGCACATTGGCTCCATTTTGATTATCAAGTCCACTTCTGTCTCTGTCCTGTATGTGGGATGATCCTTTTGGTGTACCACTGGAATGAGGGACCCTCTGTTTCGTATCATCATCTGATATTAACCCTCTTGGCAAGGCCTTGTTGATGGACTTCAGGAGGCTGAGATCTGGTTTGACAGGAAGTACAAGCCTGGCACCTGGTTTGGGTGTTTTGGAGTCTGAGGTACTGGGCTCTACTGGTGATCCAGTGCTACTTGATGGAGTAAAAGGCCCAGGAGCTACCTGGGATTCCTCAGCTGTCTTTTCATTGGCCACTTTATTCATCCTGGGGAGTACCACAGCATATTTGGCCTCTACCTCTTTCTCCCCAGTTTTGGCTGTTTCTCCTACATGTTCCCCTGCAGTTTCCTGAAGGCTGGCTTTCTCTTCTGCCATTTTTTCCTCAGAGGAGCACTTGTTTTTTCTACTGGCTAGGCTGGTTTTACTGGCAACTCTCATTGTCATCCTGTGTTTGAAGATCTTGCCCTTGGGTTTTCTGATATCTTGTTTCAGTTTTATGGCCCGGAGGGAGAGCCATTGAGAAACTCCAATGGCTTTAGTCCAAGCAGAAAGTTTCTTTTTGAAGTTTAACCCCTTTGGTGTTTTCTTCTGAATCCATCCAGACACCTGGCAGAGAGTCATCATACCTTTTTTTTGTGCCATCAGATGTTCCTTGGGTTTGCCCCCATCAGGGGCCTCACTCCCGGATGTGTCCTTGTCTAGCTTTGCTAGCATCTTATTTGTTTTGTGTCGGAGAGATGCTATGCTGCTCTTACCTGAAAGCAAACTCTGTGGGTGCCCTTTCACAGCACTTAGAGTGTCCTGCTGCTCCTCAGACTCCACAATGACTTTGATGTCTTTATCTTTGGCTCTGAGACGCATTATTTGGTTTTGGTTTTTGATAGCTTTGGACAATGTAGGGTCAGCCTCCCGCTGTTCCTCATCTTCATCTGAACCAGCTTCTACAGGACAAGCATTCTTGTTAATATATTTTGTTTTGTTCACCAAACGGGTCTTGCCTTTTCCTGGGTTGACCTCACTGAGGGAAAGACCTTTAATTGTTTGAATTTCCTCTGTTGCAGAAATGGGTTTGTCTGTTTTCTGTGGCTTTGTTTTGTTCTTTTGCTCTTCCTTGGCTTTTTGTTTGGCTTCTTTTTCTAACCTTTGCTTTTCTGCTTTGGCCTGCTTTTTTTCTGCCTTCTCAGTCTGAATATCCTGAATAGCCTTTGTTTTTTTAAACATCTTGTATTTTGGCTCCTGCGCAGGCTTTGAGGGACCTGAGGTCTGCTGCTGTCGTCTGCAGGCTTTCTGAACTGTTGGCTTTTCAGATATTCCCTTCTGGTTTATCTCCTTATCTTCACCAACACTGACGGCCTCAAATATTTTGAATTCCTTCTTGCTTTCCTCTTCCCCGGCACTGGATGAGACTGTTTCGATCCGAGAATCAATTGAGGATTTTTCTTTCCCTGAAAGTTCTTTGCCTGATTCCTTGTTTGCTGTCCATTCTGTACCTCTTTGGGTATCTGAAACCTCAGCCTCTTCCTCACTGCCCTGCTCACTACTCAGTGTCTCAGCTGTCTTTTCATTACTGCCCCGGTGCTCCTCCTCATCATTACTACTTTCCTCCTCAGTCATCTCCACTGAACTTCCCGCATCACTATCTGATTCCTCCTCCTCCTCACTTTCTGTCACTTTGACACTTTGCTTGTTTTCAGGCCTGGTAGGAAGCTTGCTGTTAATTCTCCCTGTTTTTTTTGTGAGCTCTTTTAGTGGTGGTTTGAGTTTGGTGGTTGTTTTTGAAACCCCTGTAATCTCTTTCTCACACTGAGGTTGTAATATACCATTTGCTCTACTCCTTTTATTCGGCTTCACTACATCTGTTTTTCTATCCTCCATAATAATTGGTGATTTCCCTCTTTCTTTTTGTTTCTCATTAGGCATTTTAGAGGGAGGTTGAGATGCCATGAAAACATTCTGTCTCACATTCCTCTGTTGATTTCTTGGCTGTTTCTGGGCTCTGCTTTGTAGCATTTGATCTACCTTGGGAATTGACCGGTGAAATCAGTTCTTCAGAAATTACCTACAGAAGAATAATACCAAGTAAGCTGCATTTACTTTATCATTAGTGAACATATTGACAAAGAAAAAGTAAAAACATTGTGCATATTTTAGTCATCAAGGATTAAAAATTTTAAATCTAAAGTATCAACAGCACACTTAGAAGACAAGCTAGCCACTAAAAATTAACAATTTAGGACTGTAGCCTGAATAACACATCAGTCAAAACTCAGTGAAACCATGTCCTGGGTTCAGTCCGTCAGCATGTAGACCAAGTTTCACACTTGAAGTCCCTGTCCCTTGTTTTGAGACTCAAGACTCCCAGGTCAGACTGAGCTTAGACACAAATGATTCAATATTGTAACAGTCATTGATAGGCTAGGTTTTACATGTGCAATGAATCATAACAGTAAAACAAGGCAAAAGCACAAGAAAACAAAATTCATGCCATGTAACCAACTTATCTAATAAATCTTTTTGATGCTGGATAAAAATGACTAATGTCCCCTTTGCAAAAGTAAACAACCATTTTTATAATCAGGTTAAATGAATGAGTATCTAGATCTGCCTAAATGTATTGTAGCTGTGCAGCCTAAACGCCCTGGGGGGAAAGCAGTGAGAGCTTGTTTCAGTGTAATATAGCTTACCAGGCTTCTCAGGTGAAACCCAGGCATGGCTGGGGGTCTGCAAGGTGCACAGCATTGTTCTCAAGAGCTGGTGTCACTGATATAAGCATGCATGGTTAGAAGGACTGATGGGACGTTACACACCAATATCCCACCCACTAACAATTATACAGGAAGGCACACAGCCAATAATGCAATACACACCCAACAAAAGTTGGTGTTTTATGCATAAACACCCACATCAACAAAGGTGAGCTGGCATGCACGAATATGCACACACAAACACAAAGTGCCTTTTGAATAATTCAGGCTTATCTGAAAGGTCATACAGCTCTGCTGCTGTTCATATGCCCAGCTGGTGAATGCGTGGGGAGGAAAGATGAGAGGTGCTGCTTAGAAAGATCAACAACAGCTGCTGATGGAAGCCAGAAAGAGAGAGGAAGCAGTTTCAATAAAAACTGATTCTTCATGAAGAGAGGGTTTATTTCAGGACTGTTGACTGAGGCTGCATTTATTTTAACAAAATGTATTTAAAAAACTGTTGAGTGTACAATTGGTTTGAGTTATAAAAATGAAGGTCAATCAATATACAGTATTGTAATGTGTAACATAAAAATCAGCTAAAAAAATTAAGGGACCACTTAAAGCACACATCAGATCTTGATGAACTAATTGTTCAAGATGAAAACCTTTACTTTACATTGTATAATTTGTTCAAATGACATAACGACAGTCAGAAACCAAAATCAATGAAAAATTGAAATCACAGGCTCATTCAAGTTGGGTGAATTTCATCACAGCAACTCATAATGTGACTCAGAAGTGTGTATGGTGACCATGTGCCTGTATGCACTCCTGACCATATCTGGACATGCTCCTGATGAGCAAAACCCCATAAAAGAGTTGGAGCGTTTCCCAGACTGCAGTGGTTAGTACCTACCAACAGTGGTCTAAGGAAGGACAAATGGTGAACTGGTGATGGACACCCATGGCTCACTGATGATGAGGTTGACCTACTGTGTATTAAGCTTTGAAATTTTATTCATCCTTTTCAAAAGATTCCATTTGTTGGAATACTTTAACTCTTGCTTGAAAATGAGAAATACTGTACACTGGAATCTATGAAGAGAAACATTCAGTGGCTATAATGGTAACATCACACCTAGAGTGGGGTGGCTGTTGAATTGGTCTCAAAAATTATCTTTAATTTGTCCTCACAGCAGCAGTTTTAACTCATTTTACATATATTTATCACTACATAGTAGACAAAGTGGTGCTCTTCCTGACAGTATCACAATGGAAGCACACAGATTCACACAAGATGCACAGTGAGCTGCAGAGTGAGTCCAGTGCAACCTACAGACATACTGACTCCTGTGTACACAGTATTAGGCAGGAGGTTATGTTATGGATGATTGAACTTACCTTAGAGCACTGGAAACTGAATATGACTTCATTACTAAGTCATAGTATTATTTGTCTAGTTACTTTTGTTCCTTTTAGAATAAACATCTGTGTATTAAAGAATAAAATTACTATACTTTCACATTAAAGATTCAAGTGTCCAAATACTGTATGAGGGATTCTAAGTCAGTGTGCTGGAGAACAGAAACCACACAAATGTCTGTCCTGCTAATCTCCAACTGCCCAGGCTCACTTCATGTTTGTTTCACACTTTTCCCAACTGTTACCTCAATGATAGGTCCTTAACAACTATCAATGTAAACAAAAGAAGACATTTTAATTTTTACACAATGGTCTGGAGTATCAAGATACTGGGTTGCAGCATAAATAAATATATGATAGTCAACTCCAGCATAAGAAATTAAAGTTTTTTTTATAAAAAGCCCAGGTAATCAGCTGCCATAAAATGGTTTATTTAATGTCTTCACGTTGCAAATGACAGACTCATCTTGCAGGGTCCTCTAACAGAGGTATTGTTGTTAGCTGGCCCAGCCTCAGCCAGGTCCATCGAGAGCTCAGGTTGCAGCAGAGCCACCATGGCTTAAGGCAATTAGCGGACAAAGCACCTCATTCTATAATGGATGATCAAAACCCTGGGCTGTGAATATATGACAAGTGATCCCTTCCCTATCCACTTCACCAGAGACAACCTGGCCACTGTGGCTCAGATAGACCAAGATTATAGTTGGGCTATTGGAAACAAACAAACAATGCGAGCATTGAGTTTCAGAATATAATAAGACAAACCACAATGATGGGTTGGGACTCTAAATATTAAGCCTTTTCTTCAGGTTTCAGTGGAACACAGACTCCAACAGCATTCATACACTGTCAAGGATTTCTCTGTAGCACAGCAAAGATCAGTGATGCTACAAACTAAAGACATGTCACTGTACTGAGAAACTTAAAACTGACACATTAAATTCTTGGGCAAAAATGTGTAATAATTATCCACAAGAAAATGTAGTGTGAAGTTACAATTTAAAAAACAAATTAGGGTTCTTAATCAGTTCTCTACAAAAATATATTCTAGACTGATGCTAAAATACCCAGCATTCTGAGACACAGTACCAAAATATTTCCTTGTATCATCAAAATAGCAGCCAACCCCAGTTAGAACAGGCCCACAGGTACATACTCACATACATATTGTATATATTAAAACAATTCACTACAATAGCTTACAATTACATTCCTAAATAACATTCACTGCTGGCATAAAAATTGGTTTACATAAAAATAGTAAATTACAAATTACAGCATTGTGAGCTTCGCAGTAGTGAAGAAGTACCCAAGTCCGGTTCTTCATGGGATAAAAGTGGACAGGAGGGGAGAAGGCTGTGTTAGGAATATAGCTTTAACAGTTTGTAATGCTATAACTAATGTAGTGAAAAGAAATTAACATCAGTGTGGTTCAACATAGAGATAGTAAATTTGTATCTTTTTTTCTCTTTTGTGGCATTGCTGAAATATTTTCCCTTGAGAAGTATGGAAGCCCATTCATGTCAAAAAATAAAAAATTAAAGCTCTACCAAATAGTATCATAAAATTTTAATGTTAAAGTAAGGTAGAAATTCAAAATTTTAAACCAAGTAAAACTTGCAAAATTTTAAATTTAGATTCATAGTTACAGGATACTAGGTAAAAATTATAACATTTGAGTCAAAAATGTAGTAAGTCAAACTCAGTTGAGTAGCAAGTAAGATTTAAAAAAAAAAAAAAAAAAAAAAAAAAAAAAACTATACTGAGTAGGGCTGGACCCAAATATTCAACTATTCAGATATTCGTTTGTTGGGTAGGTAATCGGTTTTCAATTTTAGTATTTGAATATTCGAGATAGCAGGAAATTTCAATGTAGTCTGAGCCCAATGATGAAGACAATGGAGACAGCTTGGTCCGCTAGCTACTACTTACTAGATGAATGAGTTAGCGGTTTTGTGGGTTCGCAGTTGTTAACTACTGTTAACTCCATTACTTAAATTGATGACAGGACAAAACGGAACTCGCTGCTGTCAGATTAGTGACCTCGGTGCAGCTGGTGGAGAAACAGAAAATACAGTGGAACCTTGGATTGCAAGTAACCCGGTTTGCGAGTGTTTTGCAAGACAAGCAAAATATGTTGAGTTGATATACGAGCGAGATCTCGCAATACAAGTAGTATGTACGCTTTGTCTGCCGAGCGTCACGTGATGTACGTCACAACTGAGCTGATGGTTCTCGCGCTTCACTCGTATAGACAATATCTGTACTGCAACAATGGACCCTCACGCCAACCACGATTCTTTTCAAAGGTAAAGTGCAGGTTAATTAGTTTTATTTTTTACTTTATACTGCATTTTGTATTATTGTAATCATTTTTATATGGATAAGTGGGTGTGGAACAAATTATCTGAGTTTCCATCATTTCTTAATGGGGAAATTCGCTTTGATATACGAGTGTTTTAGATTATGAGCATGTTGCCGGAACTAATTATACTCACAATCCAAGGTTTTACTGTACTGCTGTTAGCCAAAGATCATTTATAAGGTAAACAGCAGCATCTGTAACACCACTGAATAATCAGAGTGAACTCCAGTGAGACTGCGTCACTGGTAAAACTATCATTGCTACATGGCCATGTAGCACATTCTGTGGGATGGTGGTTATGAAGATTATTCATCTGATGTTTTATATTATAAGAACTTTCCATTATCTTTTTTTTTTTTTTACCCAAAGTACTGCCAGATGGGCAAAGAGGTGCCTTTACAGCAGCACAACCTTGGCTGAGAATGGAAAACGAATATTCATATATTCACCCATTACTAGTGACGCTCCGAATCCTAAAATGCAATTTGGGACAGCCCTAATATTAAGTCAAAATTATGCAGCACTATGTAAAAATCAAAGTGAAAGAATTTTGATTTATGATTATGAATTATGATGGAAGGTCACAATTACAAAATGCAAAATCAAAATTGACCAAAAAACAAAACTATGCCAAATTGTAAAGTAAGGTAGAATTTCTTTAGTAAACTCGAATTAAAATAGACTATGGAAAAATGACTGCTTAAAAATGATATTTCTACATTATAATTGAGTACATAAATATAATCAAAATTATGACATAAGAAGTGACTTAATATTGATCATTAAAAATAGCAAAAAGTTATTCATACGCATTCATTTTGACTTGAACAAAGATGGTTGCATCTTAGTGTCTGATAATCTGGATAATCAAATCCATTGTAACTTGGTGTCATATCTCATAAGTTTGCCTTTAAAATTTGATACAATTTTATCTTTATATCTTAAGTTTAAAAAGTATGCCTTTTTTGTTTTTTGTTAAACATACATTGAGTAGTGTATTTTTATTACTCCTACCTTTTCAGCTAATTACTTTTTCTGGCAGAAATGGGCTTCCATAGTACAAATCTGAGGTTTCTTCAAATAAAAACAGGCACAAATTACATACAATAAAGCTAAAAATGTTTACATCTTCATTATTTAAAGCACCCCCACCCATGTAAAACAGTAGAGCATGATGGTTCAACAAACCGTTTCCACTGGCAGGATCCATATGAAAAGGCTGGTGGTGATAAAGGCTTTCAGAATGATGTGGGCATGGTTGCTATTTAAGTCACACAGCTTCAACAAGTGGCATCTATGGCAGATCTGAGATGCTGGCACTGA